CTTGAAAATGTTAATGTTTGTATAAAAATATTTTTACAGGAATTTTCAATGCAGATATTTATACTTTTCTCTTAATCTCAATCGCGATTTGTACAGAGGAATTACAAATACAGAAGCAAAAGCTCTTATCAAATGCTAAAGAAGAATCTGATTTAATTGATAAGGAGGTTCAAAATTAAAAATTTAATCAAATAATTATTTATGTTACATTTAATAATTCTTATGATCTCGAAAAACTGTACCTTTCACAAACAACAAAAGTACCAAAGTTTAAGTTAATTTAATTATTTATTAAATCTTAAATAAAAAGAGAATATAATATATATATATATATATATAATTTATGTTTTTGTTTCTAATCAACTTTCATATGCTTTTAATTAATAAAAAATTCCTGGAAAAAAAATACTTCTTTGTCCTGGAAATCCTGGAAATGTCTTTGAATTTCTTAAACCTTGTTTCGCTATAGACACCCTGATCTTACATTTACAGTAAAAGTAATTTTTATAACAATTTACAGGTATATGCGAACAAATAAAATTCGTTAGAATCACAATGTCTATCAAATTATATTCAGTAAAATCATTACTCGAATTACTTCGATGTATGAAAAATAAGATTTAGTTTTATAATTATAAATGCATATACTTATTATTATAAAAATCATGTAAATATTATTTTATTATACAAAATAATTAAAATAAAATTGTATGTCATTATATGTTCGCGAACGCGCTGCGTGAGGAATCGCGCGATACGACAAAGGATGAGTCACTTGTAGTATAAAGAAACCTTTAATATACGAAATCTTTACTAAAATATAATGTACAATATTTAACAATTATACGCACAAATTAACATAAAGTTTAATTGTTTCAGCAGGAAGAGAAATCAAATCAAAAAAGAAAGAGCGGCGGTTGTCGATTATAAAGTTCTGCATTTTTTTTAAGGCGGTTTTACTTACGCGTACACGGCGGAAAAGAAAGCGATAAGGCCCCTACGCCGGGTGAGTTCCTCTTTTATAATTTTTGGAGCGGAGCCCACCTTCGCGTGAAGCGCCAATAAATTTGCGTGATTTTTTAAAGTAGCGCATGCTCAATAAAATAATTATCGGCGGAACTGGTTGCGACAAAGTTACTTGTTTGTATATTGAGCGTTTTTTATGTGACAGCTTAAATTACGACTTCTTTTTATTCTAATACAAAAACAAACGTAGAATTTTATTATTTAATGATCGATGATTCCAGAATTTACCAAATAACATTTCGAGATAAAATAAGATTTAATTTTGTATAAATTGAAAATATAATAACGTTTTACTGCGAAGTAATTAACATACATAAGATTAATTTGTATGTCAACATTATATATTTCATGTGTTTGATAATATAAATAACACAAAATTTTTCTGTTATATATATAGTTTTTTATAGAAAAAAATTGATGTATTATTTATATTATCAAACATAAAATATATAATGGCATGCATTGGCTACACTAATTCAGAGGTTATCTTTTTCCTTCCAATGTCGAACAAAAAAGACAACCTCTGAACTAATGTGGCCAGTGTAGCTAAAACAAACAGACCTTATAAAAAACAGAAAGAGAGAGAGCGAGAGAAAGAGAGAGAAAGAGAGAAACACGTTGCAGCTCCATCTATCACGATATCACGCAACTAATCTACTGCTCTGTTTATTCCGCAGCCTCGATTTGCACACACACATATGCGTGAAATGTTTTTTTATATATAACTTTTTTATTAGACTTGCAATCTCACTTTTAATTGCTTACTAATATTTCTTCATATAATCCTTACCGCGCATACTATATTTCATGCACAGACAAACTGCAAAACTTTTTTTATTAAATAAGTATTATTACGAACTGACACAAAGCAGCCGATAACAAAATTGTAATTTTTGATTTTTATATGATTTATATATGCAAACATAGCTAGCGCGGTCCGTTTTTATAAGTACTTTAATCGTGGAAAAGGATTTATTGATCAGTATAGTCAATAAAAAGTTATATGAAAAAAATAAATATTCTCGCATTCGGTCGGTAAAAACATCATTTAGGATCCCCTTAATTAACATATATTTTTCGTTCGAACGTGTTAATTCATGCTGTTTACTTATTAAATCGTTAATATTTTTATTTTTCTTTAACTTTCTTTCTTTTTCAGGAGATCCGTCTTCTTCCTTGGATGGTTTGGGATCTTCAGGTGGTAAGTATTTTTCTTTTTCTTTAGATTGCTGTTTAATTTTTTCTTTTCTTTCAGGTTGCTGGGTAATTTTCCTTTTTCTTGCAAGTTTGTCTTCATTGATTTTCTCTTTGGACGAATTCGGATCCTGGTAAGTTAAAGTTTTATTTTCTCTTTTTTCAGGCTTCCTGGGCTGGTCTGGATTTTCCTGAGGTAAGATACTCTTGTTTTTTGTGGGTTGTTGATTAATTTCTTTTTGTTTTTCAGATTTCCTTGGTGGAATGAAATCTTCGTGTGGTGAGTATTTTTCAATTCCTTTTTCTCTTTCAGGTTGTGGTTTGGCAAATTGTATTATAGTAGATGATTTTAGTGGTACGTCTATTCTGTAACTTTTTGAATGCTGTGGAATTGATTTTTGAATTTGTCTGTTTTTCTCGTAGTTTATTCATGGAATTTGTGAATTGTTTGTGATTTCGTTTGTATTTCCGTGGAAAATTGGTTTTTGTGGATGTAAGTTTCCAATTTTGTGAAAAACTACGTTTTTCTGATGATTAAACCAATTATGGTTTAAAAAAAGTTTCTTTTGATCCCTTCTCGTGAGTATGACATTTCTTGGATTTCGGTTGCTATTTCGGAATCCCAAATTTTTGTTTGTGGTTTAATTTGGTTATTTACTTTTTCGCCCCCTTCTAAACTCGATCTATTTATTAGTCGTTCGATTGGAATCAACGAAATCATATTTATCTCTGAATCTTCCTCCGAATCGGAATTTATTATTGGTCCATCCTCCTGATTATTTGTTCGTGGAGGCTCGATTTCTTCTTTAGTGTCGGAAATTATTTCTTGATCGCTAGCTTGTGGACGTATTGTTTCTTCTTCGGCGTCGGATGTTATGATCCGCTGTTCCTCTTGATTTCTCAATTTTGGTTCGCGATGCGGTCTGATTTGACGGGAATTATATGTTCCGACTATTGTTCCGTCGAGATGTTCTATCAGATACGCGTTTTTTCTTATTATATCGCGAATAATGAATGGTCCATCATAAATTAAATGCATTTTTTTGGTAGTTTTGCGGTTTGCGTCCGATCTGCGGTGAATTTTGACCCATACACGGTCTCCGATTTCATATTGTTTGGCTGATTGGTGTTTTTCCGCTTGAACTCGTCGCTGGTTGGCTTGCTTTTCCAAATGGTTGGCTACCTTGGTTCTCAGCTCCTGATGGTCTTGATTTTCCGCTTCCTCTGGAATTAGTCGATTATTTATTTTAAGCTCAATTTGTAACTCGGGATGCAGTTTATTTGGTATTTCTCCCGTTGAAAAGTGATGGGTTTCGTTCGCAGTGATTTCGAAACGTTTTATTATCTTTTCCCATTGTGTATGTCTGTCATGAAAATATGACCTAATTACTCTTCCAATTTCTTTCATGACTCTTTCCACTGGATTGGATTGTGGGTTATATGGTGACGTTTTGCGGATTTCCCATCCTTTTTCGTTGGCAAAGTCGGACCATTTTTTGGACAAAAATTGTCCTCCATTGTCGGTTACAAATGTATTTGGTTTTGTCATGTTTGTTAGGTATTCTTCTTCGATCGTTTGCATTATTGTTTCGATTTTTTGGTTGCATATCGGAAAACAACGGATTAATTTCGAGAATTGGTCCATAATTACGATGATGTATCTTTTTTTTCTTTGGTTCTAGGTAAAGGACCGAACAAGTCTAACGATACGGTGTCGTTTTCTTTTTCGGTAGGTCGTAAAATTGTGGACCTTGTGTCGGTCTAGTGTAATACTTCGATGCCATACACGTATTACATGACGCGACTACGTCTCTTGTTAATCTATCCAGGTTCTCTAAGTGGAAGAATCTTTTTGTGAATCCGATCATTTTGTCGGTTCCAAAATGTACCAAAAATTTATGTACAGAGTTTATCAATTCCCATGCGATTTTATTCGGGATTAAGACTCGCTCATCGATTCCGTGATTTATCCGCACTAGTCCATCGCGGATTTTAACGTTTGGATCTTGTTGCGTTATTTTTTCTCGGATGTCCTGGTCGTTTCGTTGAGCTTCCTGGATGGTCTTTATCCAATTTTCTGGGTTGTCTTCTTTTTCCAAATCGAGGATCGAGCATACTCTGTACTCGTTTTGTATTGATGTTTGATTGTTGTCGTCTTGGTATTGTCTCGACAACGTGTCTGCGATCTTGTTTTCCGTACCTGGAATATGGTTTATCTCCAGATCGAACTCTTGTAGAAACGACATCCATCGGGCTATGCGTTCGCTGTTGTTCGCGCACGAACTTACAAACTTGATGGCGCGATGGTCCGTGTTGACTCTCACGTTTCTGCCCATCAATATTACGTGCCATTTTTTAAGGGCAAATACCAGCGCGAGACATTCGATTTCTGTGATCGTATAATTTTTTTCCGCGTTTTTTAGGCTACGACTTGCGTAAGCTATGGTATATTTTTGATGGTCGTTGTCCTTTTCGTACTGGTATAGACGTGCTCCTAGTCCGGTTTTGGATGCGTCCACATCGATTCCATAATTCATTTTCGGGTTGGTTAAATATAACGTCGGAGCGTTGGTGAATGCTCTCTTGATGTTTTCGAAAGCTTCTTGCTCGATTTCTGTCCATACGAATTTTACATTCTTTTTAGCAAATTTTTCAGGGGTTTCGTTAGTCTTGCCAAATTTTTGACAAATCTTCGATCCCAGTTGACTAACCCCAAAAAAGCTTGGATGTTTTTCTTGGTTTTGGGTCTCTGGAATGAGGCTATTGAACATTTCGTTTCTTTGTTGATGTTCGCTGTTACGTTGTCGAACGTGTGTCCGAGGAATTTTATTTCCTTTTTTAGGAATTCGCATTTCTCTTTATTGAGTTTGAAACCAACGTCTTCCAATCGTCCAATCACGAGATCTATATGTTTCAGATGTTCTTGGAGACTGTTCGATGCGATCAAGATGTCGTCGAGATATACGATAACGAATTCTAGATTATCATTCTTTAATGCCTTATTCATGGCTCTTGTAAAAGACGCACCGGCTGTTTTCAATCCAAATGGTAATCTCTTAAAAACATATGATTGGCCATCGAACATAAAACCAGTGTATTTTCTGCTAGTTTTATCTAGGGGAATTTGCCAAAATGCCTGGGTGACGTCTAGCGTGGAGAAATATTTTTTATTTCCTATGCGGCTGAACACCTCGTCAATAGTTGGAGGTTGTGCGTGGTCCGCCACCATTTTCTTGTTTATCTCTCTCGCGTCCAAGCATATCCGCAAGTCTCCGGATTTCTTTTTAACCGTGACCAATGGGTTGATATATTGAGTCGCGGCTTTTTTGATGATTCCTTGTTGAATCCATTCCTTTATCATTTTGCGTACCGCGTCTCTGTGTACCTCAGGAACGGGATATGGTTTCTTTTTGTACGGTTTATCGTCGCTCATTTCTATTTTATGTTCGTAGTGGGTTACCTTGCCGATTTTGTCTTCGAATACTTTTGGATGTTTCTTTAGTATTCTTTTTAATTCGACGCCCCCTTCTACTTCAGACATGGCGATCGATAGAATTGACTTGACTTCTTCGTTGTTTCTGAATTTGACGTTGAACCTGTTTTCGCGATATTTAATTCTCGCGCTAAACTTGGTCAACATATCGTTTCCCAATACCATTGGGTACGATAATCTATCGACTACATAAAATTCCTGCAATAGTCGATTCTTTTCGATATTTATCGATAATTGGATCTTGCATGCTATTGTGAGCTCCTGCTCGCCAAAAGCACCTTTCAATTTGCATTTTCTCACCGGAATTCGATCGAAATTCTCTCCGGCTTTTATCAGGCTGTCCAACGTGTTTTTGGACATGACAGATATCTCCGCACCTGTATCGACTAGTGCGCGTATCTTAGTTTTTCCAATTTTAATGTCGATAATTGGTTTCGATTGTGACTTGTTCTTATTATGAACCTCGTCATCGCTTAGATCTTTGATGATCTTTTGGGTCCTCATAATCGAGATTTTTTTCTCTTCGAAGGACTCTTCCGGATTGTCATTTGGGCTACTTTCGTCCGTAGTCTCTTCCGAATCCGTCGATGAAAGCTGTCTTTGCTTAATGGTAGAAATTCCCTTCTTCTTCGGCGCTTTCGTCTCGTTGGATGTTTTTCTTCCTCTTGAGGCATTCTTCGATTTCGTTGCTTTATTCTGCCGGTCCTCTTCATCGGACTCAGATTCTGGAAACTCCACCTTCGGCTTTAATTTTTTTGCTTCCTGTCCGTACCATGGAAGCGCTTTTTGCTCCTTATTTCGGACGTATGGACTCTTTTTCGAGTTCCATTTGGTTTTCTGGTATTGTGTCGCCGGGTCTTGTCTCTTCTTTGTTGCACTTTTGGTCGAGGCTTTCTCTGATGACTTGTCTCTCGCTGACTTAGTCTCCGCAGCCGCCTGTTTCTCGTCGTGTATCTCCTCAAGGATCGACGTTAGTTCGGAAATATTTTTAGTGGTTGACCACTTGATTTCACGCGCGACTTCTTTATCGAAGTGCCTTTTAACGCAGCGTATTATTTCCGCATCTCCCATTGGGGGTTCAAGCAATTTTGCTTGTCTGGCTAAATCCAGGGCGTAATCCGCCATTGTTGACGATTTTCCAGGTTTGTACTGCCCCATATAGAGTTTTTCGCGAAATTTGGCTTGCTGGGTATCTCCCCAGAAACGTTGAATAAACGCCTCCCGGGCCTCGTTTATATGTGCGAAATCTTGGACCTCATACCATACGGCCGCTTGGTCCTTCATACATCTTCCAAAAAAGTGTATTAGATCCCGGTCGTCGATCTCTTCGTAGTTCGCGATCAAATTGAATTTCTTTAAGAACCGCATGGGGTTCATATCTTCTGTTTTTCCATTGAATTTTAGCTCCTCGAATGGGCTCTTTAACCATCCTCCCTTTGGTAGGCGTATACCAATGTTTTGCGTTGTATTTACTCTCGGATCGATCGCGTTTGTGTTCCTCTCTATATACTCTAACGAGTCTTGCGAGGCGTATCGACTTGCCGATAGCTCTACGTTTTTAAGCGCATTTGACATGGCTTTGACCTGTTCCTCTAGGATCTGGATTCTATCTTCGGCTCCGTCTTCGGGATTTTTCGCGGTTGAAGTTCCTTGTTGCGGATCATCGGTCTTACTTAGTGGGTTTCTGACTTTCCCCGATCTCAAGGTTGTTGGTGGTGAATGTACCACTCCTTTGAAACCTTCTTTGTTGAAGTCGTCTTCCATTTTGCCGAATTTTAATACCGAATTAAGCTAATAGATCGCGTATCGCGATAGTTTTATTGCGTTAATTTTGCCCGTATGGGGTTTATTATTAACTTTAATTGAGTCAATTTATGACTCTGCCCTTTTTGAACTTTGGCAAATGTTTATTGCCTAATGGAATTATTTGTCGCGTCCGAATATCAATGTATTGCTTATCGCGTATCGCGTTAGCTTATTCGCTTTTTGATAGTAAATCTAATACGGACGTACTTTAGAATCACCCGGTATATTGTTTCCGAACGATTCTATTTTTTCGCGTTTTTAAATTTTTCGCGAAGAACGGAAATTAATTGTACGGAATTATTTATTGTACGTTTGGTAAGTTACTAGTATTGCGTAACACGTTCGTTTATTATTTTATAAGAAATAATTAAAATCGTAACAATTTAAATACCCGGTATGTTGTTTCGGTTGCTTTGATGACTACGCGTATGTCGGCGCGTCTTTGTCGGTGCGCGGTTTGCCTCGCCTTTGTCGGCGTGCGGTCTCTCGCGTCTTTGTCGGCGCGCGGTTTACCTCGGCTTTGTCGGCGTGCGGTCTCTCGCGTTTTTGTCGGTGCGCGGTTTATTCGATTGATTTTTATGCTTTCTCTAGAGTCTCTGCAATCGTTAAGCGAAAATTTTCCGCTTTCTTTTATTAACGATGCAAAGCTCTCTTTGTCAAGAAATTTTTATTGTCTTACAGGAAATGCAAGGAGATAATGAGGATTATTCGCTTGCGAGCATAGCATTTTCGTCAGACGTAACTCTTTGTTTGTCTTCTATTATTGACGTATGCTGTTTATTGCTCAATATTTTATCCATGCAACATTTTTCGCAATTTTATGCAATCGAATCGGTTCGCGTTAATTTGCGCAATTATTTTACCACGACTTTTATTTTTGTTCACGTTAGACTTTCTCTACACGCGAATGAAACGTCCTGACGTTTTCTATTGCACCACCTTTTAAGGCTAGGGTGTCTAACTCTGTGATTTGCTAATTCGTTTCTGCTTCGCGAATAGCTTCCGGTTTTTCGTTACCGATTTTACGTTTTTTGAACGTGTTTCTATTTTATCCGTTTTTGCGTGCAGGGCTTATTCTTTGGCTTTAATATCGAACGTGATGTTCGACCGCTGTCACGGTCATTACGCTTCTCGGGCTATGCTACTTTATTTTCGCGATCGCCGTGCTATTCGCGTATTATGACTTTTGCCTGTTTTTGCAATTTTAACCGTTAATTTGCAAGTTTTCCTAACCGTATTATCGAATTTATTGTTTTCGACAATTTTCGCGGTCGTCACCTTTTTCGAAAGTGGTCTTATTCTAAGCAATAACTATTATCGAACGCGATGCTCGATAGCTGTCACGGTTACCACCTTACTTATGAAAATAAGTGGTTTCGGATTTCACTTTGTTAACCGCTTTTTACAGATTCCATATCCTAACTAACTGTCGAACGTAATGTTCGACAGCTGTCACGGTCGCCACCTTTTTCGTTAGAACAAGTGGTGCCGTATTTCTTAAATTAACCGTTTTACACTACAGGTTCTTTTAGTCCGGCCTGTCGAAATTCGATTTCGACAGGTGTCACGGTCGCCACCTTTTTTGGTAGAATCGGTGGCTTGTGTATTAATCTGTTTGAACCGCTTTTGTTGCAGATTCTTCGTCGTACTGCCGTTTCGCTAAACGGCAGCTGTCACGGTCGCCAGCTTTTTCGGTACTCACTGTCTTGCGACAATAAATTCCAGGCTGGCGTTCGACTACTCACGGCGGCTATGTTTCACTGTGACCGAACGTGCTTGCGGTTGGTATCCACTACTTCGACTTACCGGTCCAGACGGCCCCGCTTTGATCGTTGAACGGTCGCCAGTTGCTTTGACCACTAATAGCAACAAGGTTGGGGAGACTCGGATTAAATCCTGCCGCACCAATAACGATCCTGAGATGCCTCTCGCTGTCGCCTCGGTTTTTTACCACGTCCTTCTTAGAAAGTGGCCGCTGGTTCTAAGTTAATTACTTTCACCTAACGCGGTTTTCGCTTAGCGGGTGGATTCCGATTGTCTAACTTACTCTCCTCTTTATTTTTAGGTTCCAGAATATGCAGCTTCAACCCGAAGAGGACTTCCGTGGGATAAGCACAATGAGGGTAAGTAGATTACGCACTGTCTTCACTTAACCAAGAAACTGTTTATTTCACTAGGTTCAATGCTTTATGAAAATACAACCACTCGTTATTACAGGCACTTAATTCCCGACAGAGTTATTTTCGAAACGCTCGTCAGCCTCAGGGCTGTTAATATTTACGTCACGAATTTTATTTAGGATCGCGTCGATCAGCCTATTCTGATTCCTTTATAACGCGAGACTTGTTACGGAACGCGCGAAGCACGAACTCGGATCCCGTCGGTCCGCATGTACAGACTTGTTCTCGACGAAAGACCTTGATCCTTCGTTTGCGGCCGCTTTTATACCCATCCGGGTGTAACGCGCCTCTCTACGAACCCGCCGACCAATCGGCGCCGAGCGTCCTCTCCGCCGATGCTCGGGCGAATCGCGACGCTCGGGAGTAAACTCTGCTCCATCGGAGTTCCCATTTTTATTTTCGTGCACTAAACCTTACTCGACTAGAGTTCCTATTTATTTAGCTTTTTCACGTTTTCGCTTATCATGACTTTGTCATGATATAGGGTTATTCATTATTCATTTACTAGTTAATTTGTACATCAAGCAGATAATAAACTTATATCAAATCGAAATCAAAATTAATATATAAAAAAACTATTAATCTCGGCTCGAATTATTGTGTTACAATAAAAATAAAATCTCGACGGCAATCGGAGCCTATGCGGATGACATGCACAAAATTAATAAATTAAAATGAGATCTCAAGTCAAACTCATTTATTAAATTCTAAACGTTTCGACCCACTTCGGGTCTTCTTTAGTAGCTGCAAAATACAAAGAAACAAAAATAGAAGATAATCGGTACAATCAGAAAATTATAAAACTCGTATACATACAATCCGCAAATAAATTAAATATCATTCTCCTCCCTATTCAAACCGTCCGGCCGTCGGAGTGTCTCCCTAACGGTGACCATCGTCAGGAAGGAAGCGGAGCAGTGACTCCCTTACCAACACTAATCAACATGGTATAAATTAAACGTAGAACAATTCACAAGAATTAAAAATTAAGAACCGGGAAGAACACTCACCCCGACAGCAAAAACAGAGAGAAGACGATGCTACACGTGACACATCACTCTAACGACTGTGCGGTATTCTACCTCGACACAGTCGATACATATATACGCAAAAAACAAATATAAAAATAAAATATGAAAATAAAAATAAAAATAAAAACAACTAAACTAATCGGCACTCATGTCAAAAGTCTAACAAAAAAACCCGGCTATGTAAAATCACAAAGCTAGATTTTGGTAAATTTTTCTATTAACAGATCAAGATTCTCGTTTAATTTATCAGTGTCGCTATGTAAATTTAAACTATTCCTCTGACGTTTTATGTGGATCATTTCGGATATCAAACGTTTACCTAAAAAAGGCTCCTCGTCTAAGACTTTTACATCCTCCCAATTAAATTCATGGTTCAATAATCTATGTTCCGATATGACTGATAATTGTGACGCGTTTCTTTTTATGTTGTTGCGATGTTCTTTCATCCTAGTTTTCAACAATCTACCCGTCTGCCCTACGTACGACGCATCACAATCCATACAATCAATTTTATAAACTACATTATTATGGAGTTCTCTTGGTAACTTATCCTTGTGTACTTTAATGAATTTACGGAGACTGTTAATTGCTGTATATGATGGAATGACATCCAAATCACGTGTAATGTCCTCGATTCTCTTCGATACATTATTAATATACGGAATATTAAAGTACGAAACTTTTTTCTGCGTTAGAATCTTGTCATTGCATACATTTGCTCTATTGTTATGCAACTTATTATTATAGCGGAAGAACAACTTTTTTAACCGCGCTTGTAATGTATGAAATATCAAATTTAGAGGATAATTATTAGACAAAAAAACTCCAATCATAGACTCAAAGTTAACTTTATGGAATTTCGGATGAGATAGCCAAAAAACTCTATCTATGAGGCTGATAATGGTGCCTTTTTTATGACAGAGAGGATGCTGCGATTCAAAATTTAAATATCTACCTGAATACGTCGGCTTATGAAACAAATCAAACTCAATGCTCCCATTATTTATAATAATGGTGACATCTAAAAAATTCAATCGGTTGTCAACCCCCTCCTCCATGGTGAACTGCAATCTAGGATGGAAAGAATTGAAAGTGTTTAAAACTATTTTAAGCATGGAGGGTGGGGCCGCCAACGCGATATCGTCAACATATCTAAAATAAAATGGAAATGACAATGGAATCGCAGCAATCGCTCTACTCTCCAAATCTTGCAACGTGATATCCGCAATAATCGGTGAGAGGGGGGAACCCATAGGCGTGCCAAAAGTCTGTTGATAACATACATTATTAAACATAAAATAAGTCGAGTTCATAATAAAACGAATTGCCAATAAAAATTCATCTCGTGGAATAATACACTCTTTTTCAATATACCCCCATCTGTTAATTAAACTATCAATAGCCATATCCAATGGTACGTTGGTGAACAATGATGTAACATCTAGTGAAACTAGCTTCACATCACTATCCACACATAAACCATTTAATTTGTTCACTAATTGGAAACTATCAGAAATAGCCGAATCAGGTTTCGGAATTGCCTTATATATTATCTTATGTAAAAATTTTGCCAAGTAATAAAGAGGTGTATTCCTAGATGACACGATGACACGTAAAGGGCAATTTGGTTTATGCACCTTCGGCAGACCATACGCTCTTGGTAAAACCCCGTCCGTGCAGTTCAGGGATTTATATGTTGTTGAAGAAATGTAATTCTTCGTTTTCCATCTCATTAAAATTCCGTGTA